TCCTGTTGGACCTTGCCAAAGTCTTACTTCATATCGGAAGTTTTGAAATTCAAAGTTTAAATTCAGACCCACATATGTGAAGGTGATTTGACAAGAGGGGTTGCTCTGATGGTAAGCAACCCCCACTTCCAACCGAGAGGTTGTGCGTTTGAGTCTCCCCAAGAGCAAGGTGGGAAGTTCTTGGAGGGAAGGATGTCGGGGGTCTATTTGGAAACAGTCTCTCTACCCTAGGGTAGGGGTAAGGTCTGCGTACACACTACCCTCCCCAGACCCCACTAAGTGGGATTATACTGTGTTGTTGTTGTTGTTGTTGTTGGTGTTGTATATGTGAAGGTGATTGTGAAATAGCTAAACTATAAAAAATAATAAATGTTGAGTAGTATTTAAATGGGGGCCTAAAATGGCTATTTTTGCACTTCGCCAACTAAAACATAGTCTTTGAATCTTTATGACCCGAATGATTAAAATAGTTTTTATATATCTTTTTTTCTCATAATGATTTTCATGGCATTTGGATTTGGTATCTCCCTTGCTTCTTGCCTTTTCAACAAATGACAACGTTTCATTGATGCCTCTAGGTCGAGAGGATAAAACTTATATGCACCCATTATTTGTATCAACTCAATGAATGTAAAACAATTGTCTTGCATATAAATTTTTATGACTTAATGATAGTCACATGATTTATTTTTTAACTCTAATTGATAACTCTTATATTTAATTATTACTCCACATGATTAGGTGTGAACATCAATGAGTGTAAGTTTTATTATTCTGTTACCATACATAATTGGGAGAAATACATGTCTATCTTGATTGTAAATTCTTATGAATGAAACTCCAGCCCAAGACGTTGATTGCTAGACAAATTATTGCTTGAGATCTTTATTTGTTTCTCATCGTTATTATCTTAAAAGGCTTGAAAATATCCATACTAATTTTGATTTTTGATAAAGATAATCTGAGCTAGTTATGTTAACCTTCATAGTTAGAATTTAAACCACCAATTTACCTCAATTTTTCTATTTATATTCTTTCCCTTAATTACTTCTCGTTTCCTAGAAGGAAAATGGTGTACTAAATCTTTGACATGCACAAAAAGAAAGCTTTTAAGATTGGTTTTATATTTTTGCAGTTAATTATATTGAGGTGGGTGAACTAGTATTAAAAGCTCATTTTATAGTGGTCAGTTTAGATGCAAACGGAATTTAAAAGAACAAAATGAGACCATTAATTAGCAGTCTGCCCTTTCTTAAGTAGTCCACATATACATAATAATACACACTACAAGCAATGGCAATTCCAATATTATATATATATATATTTCAGAAAAGGCAAATCTATATGCCACTCGTTGCATGAAATGTCTGCATATCCGAAAATTTTGATAATCTCAACAAAACTCCCCGTTTGAGTTTCACTAGTTGAATGGTAGCCTGATAGAAAAGCATATATGGAAATCCAAAAATAACAGGGGAAAGTGTTAAAATACAACATGTTAAAAGAGGCAAGTAACTCAACACAACATCTTAAAATACTTAAATAGTAGTATTTTAAAAACTCATAACACTATCAGTATATATATTATAAATAAATAAATAAATAAATAAATAAATAAATAAATAAATAAATAAGAGAGAAGCTTACCCTAACTTCAAAGATGTATCTGAGCAATCATCCTCAATAGGAGGACCATTGTTACAACTGCATGCAGACATTGGTGGAGAACAAGCAATCAAAATGCAGCTTACATATAGTTTAATTTATATACACAAACAATGTAGAAGAACTCTTACACTACTATCTGATGACCCAAAAGTTAACTATATGTTGAAACAATATTATACTAGATGATGACAATATAATTACAATAAGGTATTTATAGTAATACATACAAAGGACCAATCTAGTATCCTTGAAGATAAGCGTAACAGATAACTACAAAAGATATAAAATATATATACAAAATATTATGTTTAACACCCCCCTCCCCCCTCTAAGCGATATGTTGGTAGGAATAACACAGAACTTGTCACGGAGAAGCATTAACCTTGGAGAGGGAAGAGGTTTGGTTAATAAATCAGCAAGTTGATCAGCCATATTTACATATTGAACTTGCAATGCACCCGTAGCAACCTTCTCGCGAACAAAATGAATATCGATTTCTATGTGCTTGGTACGAGCATGCTGAACTGGATTATGAGATAAATAAATGCTACTAATATTGTCACAGTAAATAGTAGCTGGTGATGAAAGAGAGACGTGAAGATCTCGAAGGAGAGAATGCAACCAGGTAATTTCAGCAGCAACATGAGCAACAGAGCAATATTCAGCCTCGGCACTTGAGCGAGAAACAACACTTTGCTTCTTAGAAGACCAAGAAATGAGGTTTGCTCCAAGAAAGAGACAATATGCGGAGGTAGAGCAACGCGTCGTAGGACAACCAGCCCAATCCAGATCATTGTAACAAGTAAGTTGATCCAGAGAACCACCACGAATGAACAAGCCATGAGATAGTGAGCCATTCAAATAACGCAATATGCGTTTAACAAATGTATAGTAAACTTCTAAAGGAGTGTGCATGAACTGGGACACTTGATTGACTGCAAATGCAATATCTGGACGAGTGAAAGTGAGATATTGAAGTCCACCTACAAGACTCCTATATAGAGTGGGATTAGAAAAAGGAGGAGAGTCAGATGTGTGCAACAGTGTTTTAGAGGAAAGGGGAGTAGAGACAGATTTTAAAAACAAAAGATTTGCACGACGAAGAAGATCTTGAATATACTTAGACTGACAGAGAAAATAACCACCATCACGAGGAGTGATAGAAACACCAAGAAAATAATTAATCAGTCCTAAATCATTCATAACAAATTCAGACTTAAGGGATTGAATTAAAAAACGAAGTAAAGAAGAAGAGGAAGCAGTGAGAAGAATGTCATCTACGTATAGAAGCAAAATAGTAATTTCTGTTTTAGATTTATAAACAAAAAGAGAACAGTCAGACATGCTATTTTTAAAACCAATTCGGAGCAAAAATGTGGCAAAACGATGGAACCATGCTCTAGGAGCTTGCTTTAAGCCATAAAGAGCTTTGTTCAGCCGACAAACATGATGAGGAAAGTTTGGGTGAACAAAACCAGTTGGCTGTTTCATATACACCAGTTCGTTAAGACTGTCATGCAAGAAGACATCCAGTTTATGAACTAGCCAACCTTTGGAGGCGGCTAGGGCAAGAACAGTACGAATTGTGACAGGTTTCACCACAGGACTAAACGTTTGATCATAGTCTAGTCCATATTGTTGAGAGTATCCTTGCGCCACCAAATGAGCTTTAAAGCGTTCAACTGAACCATCTGACGTTGTTTTACTTTATATACCCAACGACAACCAATAATATTAGCATTAGGAGGATGTAAAACTAACTGCCAAGTGTTGTTGTCCATGAGTGCATTATATTCTTCAGTCATTGCATTTCTCTAATTAGGATCCTTATTAGCTTCCTTGAATGAGGTAGGCTCGGATGGAATAGATATGACATGTCCGTTAGATGTATTGTGGGATAAGAGTGAGGGGAGAACTTGAGGCTTAAGGTTTCCAGTTTGAGAACGAGTAACCATATTATGAAGTCTAGAAGGAGTTGGAAATGTGTGAGGCGAGTGACTTAATGTAGGATAATTAATTAAAAAAGGAGCAGGATGAGATTGAATAGCTTGCGATCGAGTCTTTAGAAGAGTAAAAGAAGATAACAAAGGAGAAGATGGTGGAGAAATATTATGAGAAAATGTAGGGGAATAACCAACTGGAATCTCATGAAGATAAGGAGAAAGAATAGTCCCAAAATTATTTGAATTAGAAGTTACGAGTCTAGAAGATGTAGAAGCATGTAATTGCTGGACTCTAGGATTGATACGTGAGCACAAATAATCTCTACTTGGAGATAGACCTAGGAAGTTAAAGGTGATACTGAAACATTATTCAAGGGAGAGAAGCATGAAGTAGTTGGAGACAACCTAGAATCTAGCATGTTTGGAGTAGGAGAGGTATTCTCACATGAAGGTGTTGGAGATACACAAGAATTCAACAGCTTTTGGACTTGGAGATTATTATCATCTAATAATTGAGAATTCCTAGATGGAGAAATATTAGGAGAAGATAAAAGAGCTGTTACAGTACCAAACGGATGAGAAATATTAGGAGAAGTAGTTGGATTACGCAATAGATAAGTATCTCTAAGATTTAACATTGAAGGAGTCGAAATAGGCAATGCATAAGAGTTGAAGTCTGTTGGAGATTTAAATAAAGATTTTGAAACACAAGGAGGAGCGGGTGATTGTAGAAGAGAGGTACGGGAAGGACTCCTCATTAAAGCAGACATGCCTGGAAATATAAACTTTATTAGTTAATGGATTAAGACACCGAAATCCCTTATAATTTAACGGATAACCAAGAAAAACACAATGCTTAGATCGAGGACTTAATTTGTTACGTGAATAATCACTAAGATTAGGATAACATGAGCATCCAAATACACGTAGATGATCATAGGTAGCAGATTTTCCAAAAAGGATTTCATAGGGAGTCTTGAATTGAAGTTTGAGAGATGGAAGAATATTCAAGAGATGAACAGTAGTGTGGAGAGCTTCGACCCAAAATTTAGAAGGAAGAAAGGCCTGAAAAAGCAGAGTACGAATCATATTTGCAATAGTGCGATGCATCCGTTCAGCCTTGCCATTCTGCTAATGAGTATATGGGCATGATATGCGTAAAGATATCCCATTTTCATTAAGAAAGTCACGGAAAATATCAAGTTTAATATATTCTGCACCTCCATCACATTGCAAAGCTTTTATCTTTGTGGAAAATTGAGTTGAGACATAAGAATAGAATGATTTAAATTTTAAAAAAGCTTCAAACTTCCGTTTTAAAGGAAATACCCATGAGAATTTTGAAAAATCATCAAGAAAGAGAATATAATAACGAAAGCCTGTAAAAGATGGTACGGAAGAAGTCCATATATCACTATGTATCAAGTCAAATAGAGAAATAGTGAATGACTTAGAATCCATAAAAGGTAATTTATTTATTGTGCTTGCCAAGTTGACAAGCACTACATAAGAAATCTAATTGTTTAAAAGAAGTGCAAGAAACTTTATTATCTCTAACTAATCTAGCAATAATGGCAAAGTTTGGATGGCCCAGTCATTGATGCCAAAGATTCGAAGAGCGTTGCACTGCTGCAAAAGCTTGATAAACTGCACGATCCCTGGAAGACATGGAATAAAGAGGACCTTGGCTATTGCACCGTAGCAGAATTTGTTTCGTCTTGAAGTCCTTAACAGAGAAACCAAAACCATCAAACTCAATGGAGCAGTTATTATCTAAAGTAAATTTACGAACACTAAGCAAATTACTTGAGAGATCAGGAACAATAAGAACATTTTTAAGATAAAAGGTATTAGAAGGAGTAGAGATAGTACCATGACCAGTGTAGGAAATGGGAAGTTGAGTGTCATTGCCTACAACAACTCGATCGCTACCATTGTAAGGAAGAATTGAGGATACATTACCAGGATTAGGGGTCATATGAGAAGATGCCCCACTATCAACGAACCATTGTGCATCACCAGACATTCCACAAGAATGAGTTGAAGCTGATTGGAGGTCAGAAATAAATGCTTTGGAACTAAGAGAAGGACAATCACGAGCAGAATGATTATGCTGAAAACAAAGTTGACACTGAACAGGAACATGCATCGGGGAAGAAGGGAAAAAAGAATAAGGAGCAGGCCCGAGAATAGATGTAGAGCGAGAGTGAGGGTGAGGAGAGAAGTTTTCAGAAGGGAAAGAAAAATTCTTGTTAAACCCAGGATTGTTACGGCCTCTACCACGACCATTATTAGAGTTTCGACCTCCATAATGGTTCTTACCACGACCACGACCATGAGAAGTAGAATGTTGTTTTGCAACAAGAGCAGTAGCATAAGAGTCTGGATTTGAGATTGAGAAATTAGTTAATTGAGCCTCATGCAGAAAGAGCAAAGAACGTGTCTCCGGAAAAGAAGGAAGTTGTATTCTAGTAGAAATAGAAGTGCTAACAGACATATAATTAGGAGGAAGGCCAGATAAGATTTGAAGAACAAGATCAGTTTCAGATATTGGATTTCCAATGGAGTTTAGAGAATTTGCAATAGTTTTAAGACGGTGCACATAATCATTGATCGAAAGATTACCTTTCTTGAGATTGTGAAATTTAACTTTAAGTTGAAGAGTTCGAGAACTAACTTGATCATGAAACAAACGCTCAATTTCTAGCCAAGCTTCTCTAAAAGTAAGGGAGCGATTGGGACGAAGAATAGCTTGAAGAATTTCTTGAGAGATGGTTGCATGAATCCAAGATAAGACTATAGAATCAAGTTGAATCCAATATTGAAAGGCAGGATTGACAATAGAAGTACCATCTTCTTTGATAATGGTAGAGGATGGATAAGGAAAGCTTCCATCAATGAAGCCATAAACACCATGGCCCTTGAAAACTGGTAAAAAGAGTTCCCTCCATAACAAATAGTTGGTGAAGTCGAGTATCGTAGGTATTAAGTTTTTGATATTAGAGACTGAAACAGCAGTGTTGGGCGAGGGAGACAAAGAACAGTCAATAGAGACTGGTGACGAAGTTGTGGAAACTGATGAAGCAGAAAAAGACATGAATCTGATTAGGGAAGATAATGTGAAGGAAAGAAGAAGCCTAAGCGTCTGATACCATGAAACAATATTATACTAGATGATGACAATATAATTACAATAAGGTATTTATAGTAATACATACAAAGGACCAATCTAGTATCCTTGAAGATAAGTGTAACAGATAACTACAAAAGAGACAAAAGATATATACAAAATATTATGTTTAACATATGTAACTACCATAATAAGTGGAACAAATAATTCGATAAATAAGGCAGATAACAAGTTAAACTTTCACTGATAATGTACTTTCATTTATGTTGTCAGTATAAAAGGCAACTAGGTGTACGAAGTATCCCGCGTTCAAGTAGGTCCGGGAAAAAGCCACACTTTAATTAAGTGGAAATAATATAGGCAGCCTATCTCTCATTTCATGGTTCGAATCGGTATCCTATAGGTCACAGGGAGAAAACCTTATGCTCCAAGGTTCCCCTTTTTATGCCGCCATTAGGATATACAAGTTAACTCCTTGCTCCAAGGAAGCTTTAGCGTTAGTGGTAAAGTTGCTGTCACGTGACCAGGAGGTCACGGATTCGAGCCGTGAAAACATCCTCTTGTAGAAATGTAGGATAAGGGACCCTTGTGATTCGGCCCTTTCCCGGACCCCGTGCATAGCAGGAGCTTAATGCACCAGGATATCCTTTCGCCCTTTCTATAATTAAAGAGTATATATAAACAAATCTTACCCTAACTTCAAAAATGCATTTGAGCAATCATCCTCAGGAGGAGGACCACTAGTAGAGACATTGGTAGTAATAGACTGATCAGAAGACTGGCCTTCTTCCATTACCATGCAATCCAAGTCTGTGAGTAAAGGCAACTCTCCTTCATTCATCATTGCCATCTAAGTAAGAAGCACATTCACAAATTCAATTTGTAGCATTAGAAGATGATCACTCAATTTAATTAACCCCTGTCAAATAATTAAATAATTGTATACAGAAAAAAAAAAGGTTATTCCCAGGTGATTTTACTTTCTGTTTCAGTTGCTTGTTTTCTTCCATTAGCACAGCACCCTGCATATATGATTTGCATGATTCAGGGGTCACAAAAGGGGGAAAATATATCAAACAAAGAGAATGGGATTAATTGACTTATATACGCTACAATATAACTTTTTTTTATAGTACAATCAGTGTATTTTAACTTGTTTAGTAGGTTACCTATCTTATTTTTTCAGATATAAATCCTACTTATTATGGACAGGTTATATGTATTTATCGTCTAGATGATATGATAATGTAAAATTTCTTTTTTTTCACTCTCATTATATTGATATTTTAGCCCCTAAGACAAAATATGGGTTTAAGCTATTAAAGTTTTCTACTAACCTTTCTTTGAAGTTTGGTAATTTCACCCATAATTTTTGTACCCTGAGATGAAAAAGAGTTTGTGTATATTAGAAGTTATTTTAATTAGCATAACATCATATATTTACTAGTTTTTAACATAATAAAATGCAATATCAAGAAAAAAAACCTTGATCTCAAGCACACGTGTGAGTCCAGTTTCAAGTCTTTTCTCAATTTGTTGCAATTTTTCTAAGCTCAATCCTTCAAGTTCCTCACCTTTCATCTGCCTGATATATAACAAATAGTACATCAATATCCAGATATAGCAAGGTATGCTTTAATGAGAATGAAATAGAAATGAGATATTATTTGGGGGAAAAAACTAGAGCAAATTAAATAAGATATATACACGAGATTTTGTGAAGGGTGTGCAACATTTAATGTTATACACACACATACACACACTTCTATCGAGGTACAATTTACATATGAAACATGAATTACTATCTAATCCTTTATTTCTTTCAAAGTTCTCATATATATTCTTTTGAGATATTCATAAGAGTACTAAAATGTAGATCTTCCAATTCAAGTCTTCTATTTCTCTCTCTCTATATATAACGATATAATTGTTTTCACCGAAGGGTAGCTCTAAGCGACAATTTCAAAGCAATGGCAAGAAATGTCAGTTACATTTTTTTTTTTTTTTTTTTTAATATATCTAGGCTTTCATGAATAGGGTTATCAATACTTGCGATAGTGAAAGTTAAGGCGCGCCAATTATTAATATGCACAGAGTTATAAATTATTATAACAAAGTGCCAAAAGGAGTGGTGGAGGAAAACAAAGAATTGTTGAAGGCTATACCTCAGCTCACGATTTTTGTCAGCTAACTCCTTGATTAAATTCGTGTTGAGGCTATTTTCTAGCTACAATATGATAAGCAACAAAAAGAGTTAGTAAAACATACATTTCTTTTGCCCCTAAAGAAACATAAACCTTAGTCTAAGCATTGTCATAACCCTAATTAGTTGATCATTATATAAAATATTAAGGATTGATTCAGGAGCAAAAGAAATTCAGTATGTTTAAATGGTCGATAAAGCACCGATAGCCTCATCTAGTTACTGATACAATATCAAATCTACTATTTTCTTATTTCCAGTTTACGTGACAATATTTTATTATTTGTATGTTTCAGAAAGAATGACACACTTATATCTTTAGAAATAATTTAATTTTATATTTTTTATTACCCTTGATGAGAAAAGTTTAAATCCGGGTGAATCTGATGACATGTATAAGACTACAAGTTTTAAAAAACTATCGTTTTTTCTTAAACTCAAAATCAAATTAGTGTCACATAATTAATTAAAACAGAGTCCATAAGATATTAAATGAAGATGCACCTATTAAAAGTAAAAGTATGACGAATACCTGTAAGTCAAGGGAAGGTTGATCGTCTTTCTCAAGGCTAGTTAAGTGCAACTTATATTTTCCAAGGATATCCTCCATGCTGCATTCATGAACAAGGTGATTAATTATTGGGTTAATTCAAGTGTTTATCCATTTTTTTTACATATATATTATTCCGTCCAGCAAAAATCAATCAATCAACTATGTCTCAAAACTATGGGTGTGTTTGGTATAACGGAAAATGTTTTCTTGGAAAACAAGTAGTAATCTTATTCATTTTCCGGTGTTTGGTACGCAAATTAAGAAAAATGACTTCTCAAGAGTATTCATAAATAATTTAGATATAATAAGCATGAAGCCATAAACTTTTAAACTAACAACCTTCCGAACCCACAAATTTCATAAACTTTCGAACCGTTAAACTTTTAAAACCGCGGAATTTCGAACCTGTAAACTTTATAATTTCTAAACTCATAAACTTCCAAACACATAAACTTCCGAACTCATACTTTTGGAACTTGTAAAATTTTGAACATTTAAATCGATAAATAAAAAAATTAAAATTGAAAAATATATTAAAAAATATTTTTTCGGGGGGAGGGGCAGGGGGGTGCAGTAAAACGGAAAAAACCAGAAATTTAAATTACAAAAAAAAAATTTGTGCGGGGTAGGGCATGTTGGGAGGGTGGTGTAGAAAAACAAAAAAACAGAAATTTTAAATTGCAAAAAAAAAAAAAAATTAAGGTAAAAAAATAATTGTTTTT